GGGGATGACACGTTGCTTCAGATCACCAGTCTACAGTAGGATTTCAATAGGATCCATCAATATGCTTATTCCGTTGGCTTTGATGTCAATGCCTCAACAACCAAGGTGCGTTCTTGGGACGCAACATAGTTCAATAGTTTTTCTTATCAATCTTCTACGAGGTGAGGGAACATCATTTCGACATTTGACAGGGCACTAATCGGATGTCTTGTCAGCAGCATGCACACTCTTCTAAATTTCGCGTGCGTGCCATCGAAAATCGGTTTGCCTCAATTAGATCGGCCACCGCAGCTGCCTCATTCGTTATATTCTCTGGTGCATCTTGTCACTTGTGAAGCTGGTCACCGTCTACTCGCCTCGACCCCTGACGCTTCTGAGTTGCATAAAAGTTCCTTTTCCGGACAGCAACGACAAGCCGTGCCACCGAACGTCCAACTTCGCCATCCCAGTCCACTCATTCTGAGATTCTAGTGACACCCAGGAGGACGATTGCGGTCCTCAGCTAAAACCTTTGGCTTAAAATTTTAACCACAGGACAGGGGTATTTGGCCCAAGGCCTATGAGAACAGTGTATATTTTTGAGGACCGATTCGCCACACGTGTTTCAACCCTCAACATGGGGGACCAGGAGACTTATGCCTCTAACCATCGAGCAACCTGGTATGGGAGGCTGTATAAGTGTCACACGTAGATTTTCCAGTATGGCCATTTGAGTTACCGAAATCTCCACATCGGGTAGTCCTAGAAGTGCTACTGTTTCTCAAGGCTTTCCATAGTCTCTATGTTCCAAAGCTGCATAGATACGGCGGCTGATCTGGATACGCCTGATATGCTAGAATGGCCCATAAGTATATTCATCTGAGTAGTCTTATCTCCAAATGGTAGACTTGCGAAAGCCGTGAGTTCTGGGGGTCTCAGGCCGGTGGCGATGTCCCTATTGACACATGTGTTCAACTGATACGCAGCCACACTATTTCCAAAAGTCCCGAGGTAAAAAGACGAAATTAGCTGTCAGGGAAGCAACCTGCTGTTCACCGCAGCAATTTTCGGGTGCTTACATTTGCATTTAATCAGTCTTGTTTAAGCTAACATAGCAAACTTCACTGACATTGGCTGGTGATCACAACTCGCAGCCTCTTTAATCAGGCTGGGATGAGGGACTATCGTGTACCATTAGCAAGGTCGATGCCCTTGCCATATGTACTTCATACCTTTCTGCCAACTTACACCGAATCCATGTATTCGGAATGAGGTATAGAGGGCAGCAATCGCCACAGTATATGGTGGTTCGGTTTCCGTGACTTTGAAGGCAACACGTTGGTCAGTGTACTCTATAACGTGCAACGTGATGCTTCGTCATATTTCAGAGGTTGATATGAAGACAATTAAATGGTTCTAGTGGAACGCCACCAAACAACTTCAGTAAGTAGATAAGTAGGGTCTAGCTGACCTTGAAATAGCCTCTTTTGGGAGAGGGACTAGATGATCGGACTTCTGTTGACTGGACAACAGAATTGTGGACATCCAAAGATTGAATGGATCTGCGGGGTGTAAGATTGCGCACTCAGTCAAAACATGGGGCACTAGTCGGTGATTTTTGACTGCGTCAGTGCATTGTATTTTATCCATATGCATCGTTGCATCCGTAACACGATTTCAGGTAGCACAACTCCACCCATTCTGAAAATCAGCTAATCATTTCATATCCGCCATGCCTCCGGCACTGTTTTTATCGTAGCGAGTGCTTTAGTTCTGCCGGTTTTTAATTACTTTACGTTGCCTGCAACTGGGTTATCATTTTTTGGACCAAAATATTGGCAAGAAACATGGCTGGCAGAAGAATAAGAAGAACGGTCTAGGGATGTGGAGTTGAAATCGTTTTTCTCACTCATAGGAGTAGGTTTCACGAATACAAATAACCAGTAGTCAGTGGCCTGCCATAAATATTAAATACAAATGCGGGACAGTTAGAACATACAAAAAATGCATAAACAATCGAACTACTCATGTGCACATTTTTAAGCAAATTCAATCGGTTAAGAACATCGCAAGTGGTTCCATCATCGCAGATGGCTCAAGTGGTTAGAGCGCGAATTTACTGACCGGAAGGTCCGTGGTTCGAACCCGACCTCCGCCACTCGACTTCCCCTGTCTAGGCTTGGGCAACCTGACAGTATCCCAGCCCTCGTGCTTCCTTCGGGTGGCATGGCAGCTAGGCACCGAAAGGGCGCTACAGCTGAACGATTTTTTTCCATCATCGCAGCTTGGTTCCAGGTGAGTCTCCTATCAAAACCTAGCTCATGCAAATTAACGTATTTGTCGAAGGATGTACAATTTGGGTTCAGGTAGAACATAAGGTTGACGGAAACTCGGGGACTGCGCTTACCTGATGAATTCCAAGAAGGACGAAACCGGCCGTGGGTTGTCGAAGGATTTTCAACAACCTTATGAGTAGTGTATTACGTCTACAAATGATTAAACGAGTTAGTCCGTCGGTCAGTATGTTTTGAACGGGTAAACGTTAACTCGTCACATAGACAACTGGAGACTAAGAGAAGTTGGGAAATCTGTGAGTGTGAGAGAGGAAAGCGTTGCAAAACCTGTTGGTTTCGGGAACACCCCTGGTCTAACTCCATAGACCTGGAAAACCACTGCCGTCAAGAGGAACTTGTGACGAACGGTTCTCTAGAAAACCCCACTCCACTTGATAGTATACAGGTTGTATACGAATCTACAAACCTGTATAGTCTTACCAGAAGTGTCTAGGGCCACTAAACGCGAGGAACCTTTGTCAGCGAGTGAGTTGTGGGTCCATGCTGACACTTACAGAGGAGAATAATGATTCGTTTGACCAAAATAATATCCAAGACTTCGGGCAAAATATGTGATGGAAATAGGAGTGATAATTACTTGGGTCATGTTAGGGTAAGAAGTGGATTTGAATTGTCTCAAGTGTACAGCGAAAGGTGGAGGGAATGATTGACGATTGGTGCCACTCCTGGGACTCAAATTTGGAACAGATTTAGAAGGGTGGTTGATTTTGATGATCAGCGAACATTCCTTGTTATAGTAACCGATGTGAAAACATAATGAGGGGATGTGGGAATACATTCAAGTTAAGGATTGTCTCTCTGGAAACCATGAAAGGGAGGAGAATTGGGAGAACGGAAATTTTCAGTAACCGCTTTTGTAAAACTTCTGAGAATCTGCTCTTTGCGGATGCACCAAATTTTCGATCAGCATTACGGCTCGATGACTTAGTTTCAGCGCTGTCGATAGTGGCCGTGCAGGAGTTTCCACATGGCCCGAATGTGTGTAAGAAAAGGTATGCTCTTGTCAACCATTTGCCTTTAGTTCTTACTCAGCGCGGAAGCAAGTATGTCTAGATCGTTCTGGTGATCAAGGTCTGCCAGGTCTTGAGAAGTAATGTGTGAATTTGTGTATTCTGCCTTACAGGATATTAGCAACGTTCTCCACAAAATTCAGGGCATTTTTAGCACATGTACCCACGAAGTAGAAACCAGAGTCAAAGCGTTCTCTTTTATTCAGCTGTAAAGTAGCGTAAGGAAGCACGACCAGATTTGTGAAGTAGGTAAAACTAAGTATATGAGCAGTGATTAGAGGAGCAAAGTGGGCGCGGTGAGCTAATAGTTTAATGAATCACGATGGGTAATCGAAAACAGATCGAGAGCTAGCTGAGGGCCACCGTCACTTTTTGGGGCTGGAGATAAGGAACTCGTAGATCTGCAAGTTTCTTTCAAATAGCATTCTAACCCCTGTTGCGGCCATTTAGCGGAAAACCACATCTGAATCTGTCCAGATTGACTACAGCATTCTCACTGTTCAGAACTATTGGCTTTCCGTATGCTTGACGACACCATTCTTGTATTCATTTAGGAGAAATATGGCTCTTAGGTCGCCGAATTACAGTAGGATGTTGCTCTATACCATTGATAGGATTTGCAGCCTACTTTCATCCTAGCTTGCTTAATGGGGATGAGATAGCTTAGTGGTTAGAGCGCGAATTTGATGACCGGACGGTTCGTGGTTCAAACCGGACCTCTGTCTTTGGATTTCCCCGGTGTAGGCTAAGGCAGCCTCGTGCTTCCTCCTAGTGGCATGGCAGTTAGGCCCCCAAATGGTGTGACAGCTGAACCATGTTTCCTCAAGAATCCGCGAGTTTTGGCAATGACTTTTCCAAACTGTCTCCTAACTGAGCAGAGGAGCTTAATAAACATGTGAAGTTTTAAGACCCCAGTTAGCTTGCAAGCATGGTTGAGTTCATGAAGTCCAAGTTCACTGGAGCAGAAGAGGTGTTCTCCCCATAATTATGCACCACTAGTAATGTTCACTGAGGAATCCAAGTCTCTCACCTCGATTTCACCGGTAATAATGTCCTTTTTATTTTGAACTGCCACCGAACTGCCTGGCCAGATGAGTTTCCAACAATTACCCAAATAAGTTGCCCGTTCATGTTCTTCCTTAGCCGGACTCTTCAACAGAACTTGAAACAAGAATTGTTCCAGACAATGGGAACCTGTAGGTTCTTTACCCATGTTCGTGAATACGCTCGAATGACCTCTCCTACCATAAGTTCGCTCTCAGTTGAGTTGTTTGCGATCGAGACCCACCCCTGGGGTATTACGACATAGTCGGATCTTATCCATCGTGCTTCCAGATTTCGTGGCATACAGAAGTGCTTCCTTGCTTCTTTGATCTTAATGTGAGCTGCCACGGCGTTTCAGAAGCTTTGTGATGAATTCTTGAAAGGACCTTATAGTTAAGTATATCCACCCTTTACTTTCCTATCTTGTCAAGTTTCAAAACATTTCATGATACCACTTTATTCTAGGCGTATTCGCTCCATTTCCAATGGTATTTAATCTTCCTATTCCATGAATCGCTTTGCTAAATAATATATACAAGGACTTCCGGACATTTGTGTCCGTTTTTTACTTGGGATTTCTAATTACTTACGCCCAACTACCTTTTCACCTTAGGTTCTGGACTTGGAAGCAAAACTGCTTGAAGCGGAACGGGAGATGCAGTCAGTTCAAGCTGCTGCCGGATATGGACCCCCTGGAGCTGCTCCCGGTAGTGGTTTAACGGGCCGTGGTGATCGTCGTGGGGCTGATGCCATTCCTCGACCGCCTGCAAGATTCACTCTAACCGGACATCGTTCGCCGATCACTCGTGTCGCTTTCCATCCGCATTACAACGTGTTTGTTTCAGCCAGTGAGGACGCCACGATTAAGGTGGGTCACACTTTCGGCTGGTCCGAAAAATCCACTCACGAAATACTTGCACCAGAATTTATTCCGCAAGCTTTCTCCTCATTGTCTGGTTTGCTTGCGGTTAAGAATGATCTTTTCAGAGAGGTTTGGCGAACAATCGATCACTACCCAATCGATCCCAAACAATTTCCAATTGATTGATTATAATCTTTATTTTTTCTTATGGAAACGGAGTTTCCCTTTAGGAGCTGTGCTCTCATTCTTGCGTATGTTGTGGCTTGGAAAAATTGGCACTATCTTAATCTTCCTGTTTTCTTCGTGTTGCATGACATCTAGGCACCGAAAGAGTGTTACAGTTGAACGATTATTATTACTGTTATTACTGTTATGTCATCATCATCATCATCGACAGCATGACATCAGTGTCCAACACCGATGCTTCACTGCCGTACAACGATGACTTATTTGAAAGCCTTATTGTAAAGAAAAGAGTAAAGGTGGACGGGGGATGGACTTAGTGCTAGCTTAACACAATCATTCCGAGGTGCCTACACCTCCAAACATTCACTCAGGCAATATGGACAGAAACTGACAACAAGAACGCCACTGACATCGGTTGGCAGCCATATCTTGTAGTGTCTCCAACCAGGCACAGTGAGGATCACGCGGT